TTTATGACCAGCACCTGTATACATACATACATACATAAACTATATTATTTCAGACAATTTAGTTTGTTTCAAGTATTGTATTAAAGCTTGGATACTTTCAGATTTTAATTCTTCTGTAATAATTCTGTAATATCTAATCTTATTTTCATTTCTGTGAGTCTGTTGATTTCATTCATTTCTGTATTTTAGGCAATGTATTAATAAATGTTCTCTGTCCTCATCTTCTCCACAGTACTCACATTTTCCTGTTTTATGTTTTCCTATGATGAATAATGTTTTATTTAATCCAGTGTATCCAAATCTGAGAAGTGATATAACTGTTTCACACCTGATTCAGATGATTGCAGTTTAACAAAAGCCTGTTAATCTTTACTCTATTTAAAAATATCTATTTTGTGTTTTTCCTTTTACTTGTACATGCATTTGTGTCTCCTAAATGTTTATATGTGTTTTTTTTATACATCTATTTTCTCACGTCTTTTTATTTCCATGTGTTGCTTTTCCATTTCTCTGTCTCCTGTTTTTACCTTATGCACTTCTGCCTCGTTATGCAAATAATGTGGGCGGAGCTTCTTGGGTCAGCTCCTCTCCTATTGGTCAACAGACAGTAAGGAGCAGGAACCATGTGCAGATTGACTGTGCGTGCTTCAGTTTAGTTTAAAACAAAGACGAGGAGGAAAACACTGATCTGTGCCTTCTGTTTTTAACTAAACTTTAAACTTTCAGAGAGACAGGGTGCTGTGTTATGGGTAAATGAGGACACAGATTGTAGTGTAAAGAGCTTTTAGTGTCCTGTTTGGATAGAAAGGAGCTGCATAAATCCAGTCTAACATTTACCATTAAGGATTTCTGTGTTCATTCAGGTACAAAGTGGAGAAAACCCTCGAGTGCCTGAAATCCTTGCTGTTAAAAGCCTGTTTTCTGAAGCTCCTCTGGGGATTAAGAAGATGAGTGTTGCACATATGGTCAGTAACTCCACTTCCTGTTTTTCGTCAGTACCACTCAGTAATTAGCAGGAAATGCAAAACATTTTGTGAAGCAACTGAACATCTTTGCATGCATTTTTCATCAGAGATGCATCAGCCCCCTTCTCTTCCTGACGCCTCGCCTCCCGGGTTTCATGATTGGTCGTCGGCTGAACAGCCACGCCCTGGAGTTGCTTCAGCTGGACCGGGCCCTCAGCAAACTGGGCCCTCAGCAGCTAAGTGACTCTGAACTCAAACAGGTGTCTGATTTTTGCATGTTTCGTGTTCACAAACTAAAACTGCTGCGTGTGATGATTATTGTAGGTTCACATATATAAATCTGTTTTTCTTTTTCAGGCTTGTTACCTGAGGGGGATCAGTTCTGAAGATCTTGATATTAACCATTGTCGTGAGTGGTTAACCCAGTGGCTTCAGATTTCTTCCTCGATAAAAGGTACGTTCACTCAGCTGTGTGCGTTAAAGTCTTTAATAGTTTTAAATTTCTTTTTCTGTGTGACATTTATACATGTTGTAATGTGGATCTTGAAAAAAGTTGTAAGTAGTCACATGTAAAATCTGGGCCAGCCAGCATCTGGTCAGATTAAAGTTAGTGGAAATATTCACTTATTACATTTTGACAGTTTTATAAAGCTAAAATCATTTGGATTTAAAGGGTAGAGGAGAAAGAGGGGCTGGKAAAATTAAAATAATGAGGAATTCAGACCAGAGCTTTGTAGTTTCACTTTATATAAMCCCCAACTGAATGATGTAAATGTGGGAGGGAAAAAAGGATATAAAAGCAAATTTCTCTTTTTTAAACTCTAAGAAAAATAATCATTGGTGTAGATTCTCAGTCATCCAAGACATGGAAAATCCAAAATTACCGTAAAACACAAAGAACTGGACTTCTATTCTGCAGCTGAAGACGGTTTGTTTCCCATCTGAGGAGCTTCCTCAATTCAAAAACTGGAAAGCTTTAAACCTGCATGAGAGAGTTCTATGTGTAATCTGAGACCTCCTTTGTTTAAAACTGTTGTCATGTTTGGCAGAAACGGCTTTAATGCCCCAACCCCTTAAACCATTTGTCTTTGTCTAAAGCATGAACACGTGAGGTGTAGGTGCACAGCTGAGTCCTGTCCTGAGGAGCTGCCTCTCCTGTGTTGAGCCAYGCGTCTGTGGAGAGGCTGTTTAGTTTGCTCTGAACATCCGTCACTGCACTGATCTGCCACAGTTGAATTTAAAACCTCAGAACGCCGCACTTACCAGTTTTGAAATGAGAAARCTCCCAGGAAAGTAAAATATCAACTACAGAACAGAGGACCAATGTTTTCTTTATTTTTATAWCATTGGATGTACACCTACACAACTGATAAACTTTTGGAGATTATTAAAATCTTATAAAGTTGATGTAATCATTTTTTATTGAACTGGTTAGCAGATATTAGCTTGTGGAGCAGCTATACAGAGTGTAGCACTGTTGAATCATGCTACAATTTAACACAAACTATTAAATATTACAGCTGATTTGTCCTCTGATTAATATTTAGACCTACAGAGTGTAAAATAATATTATAAATGTAAGTATTTTAGGTTCCTGTTAGAGGAACCTGACCTGTTAAGAAGATGTTAGCTAATAGAGACAAGTTTCATCCTATAACAGGTATACAGAGAACATGTTCTAACTGTTGACTGGTAAATATACAGTAAATATTCTTATTTTTTATGACAGTAAGAAGAAATAATAAATTTACTTTATTACCAGCTGAAGTCATCATTTTTCAACTAGCTAATTTCTAAGTTACAGGCTGACTTCAGGTCTGGTTTAGGTCATTATTTATAAATTATATATTTTTCTGGTATAAATCTGCTGTTTTACATGATTGTTGAATGAAATTAACATAATTATTAATTTATTGTAAAAACATGACAGATAATCTGTGAAACAGATCCGGTTCAGCTTGTTGTTTATCTATTAGTTTCTATGGAGGCTGTGAGCTGTTGTCCTGTTTGGTCTGTTTCCGCTCCTTCATGCTGTCAGAGGCTACCAGTGGATGGGATGGGCGGGGCTCAGTCTAGTGTTCTTATTCAAGTCTATGGATATACCTGAGCAAACAGTCGTTTTTCAGATACTAGTTGGTGTAGCAGTAGCTGAAGGTTAAACTCTCAGCTCCTACAGGTGATGCAACATCTTTGTTTACAAACTTTGGTGTGTAAAGTTGCAGGTGATATGCATTTCTACAACGAATGTTACTTAAATTTATTCAAGTAATTTTCCTTTTGTTATGAGCACTATTATCATTAATAAAGTGTGAATTCCTTTTAATCAATTATTTTTTTAATGTTTWTATGGGATAGTTTAGTATAGCCCTATAACCAGTGTGACCCTAATCAGTAAGGTGGTTAAAACATAATGGCTCAGTCAAAATAACTGAATCATTCTCATTGTTACCAACACATGCCTGTAAGAGTCAGTGAAACCTGTGCCTGCTGTGTGCACCAGTAGCAGATGTGACGAGGTGGGCGGGTTTGTCAGTCAGCCCTCTCTCACAGCAGAGCAAAAGGGGACAGTGGCTGATTCAGACCTTTGCAGAGGTAGATAAGATCCGTGGATAAGATCGTCTTCTCGTGTCAGTATTGGCCAATCACCCAAAATTAAGAAAAGTGAGGCAGATCGATCGGTGCACCCCTAACGTTTTCTGCCAGGTTCATGGTTCTAAATGAAGTTTAACATCATAGATTCAATATATTTTTGTTTTTCCTTCAAGACATTTTTTTTAATCACTGTCTTTTTATTAAGTTTTTTCCTTTTATACATACAGCTTGTGAATACAAAGATGTGTTTATCCAATAC